CAAAGAAAAAAAATCAAGGTTCTTCTGTTCGGTGAGTTTTCGAAATTTCCCCCAAGTAACAGCTACTAGTTCTGTAACTAAAACATCTTGCGTCTAACTTGCGCCGGGATACGTAGGCAAAAAGTCAATTTGGCCCCTAAAAAATCTTAAATGGCTCCTAAAAATCGAGCTTGATGCGCCTCATGGCTCCTAAAACTTCAAGGTGAGTTTCGAACACTGCTGACATTCCAGGTTTTCCCTAACTTTTTAAAATTATCCGACACATCCCGGATTTTCCGGTATTTCCTGACTGCGGCAACCCTCTTTAACCGCATCCTGCACCACACTGACATCAAAAACTAAAAAAGTTACCTTGGCTGAAAAGAGTGTAGTCCGATGGAGCGCGCCGGCGGAAAGGACGGCTGCTCTTCTTCACATCCTGGCGCACGGTCGAACACGCGAAAAACCCGCGACTCGACGGAAAAGCGGCGCGAGTGGCCGGACCACGACACGACGGGCTACTGGCTGAAATTCGGTCCGGCCGGCTGCGGCGCTGAAGCGAGCTGCAGCGGCAGCGTGCGCCGGAGCCCGTCGTCATGGCGACGCCTGTCTCCGCAGAATTCGCCCAACGCGTCACCGCCACCAGGCTCCCTTTTCCGCGACTCGGCGATTTTCCACGTCTCGCCGGGTTTCCACCTCCAGGTGCAGGGCACTTAAGTTATCAGTAGCGCACTTAAGGGAGCCGGAGTGTTTGGTCTATTGGTTGTGGTCTGACGCACGGGTCTAGGAAACACCTACATTAGTACCTGCACTTACGCACGGAGCTGCAACTTCCATCGATGCGTCCAAACCACACCACCGGCCAATCAGAAGAGCTAATGGAGATGTTGCGTGTGTCGGAATCTGCGAGTTGACTGTTGATTCATATGTAAAAGTTCGCGAGAAACACGATGGTGCTACTGGTTTTCTCTGAAATCAACTTCCAAGCTCAAAAAAAGCTCTCAAGTTGAGGCCAAAATGGATGGGATATCTCACGCTATCCCGAGAGTCCACCTGTACATCAACACAAACTCTCCATGCCAAGATGGGGAGCAAATACATTGACAGGGGTGCCAGTTTATTTGGGGACTCTAAAACTGAAAACACGGCAACTCTGCTACTGTATTTGTTCCCTATCTTTGCATGGAGAGTTTGTCTTGATGTAGAGGTGGACTGTCAGGATAGCGTGAGGTATCCCCTCCATTTTTGCCTCAACTTGAGAGTTTTTTTTGGGCTTGGGAGTTGATTTCAGAGAAAACCGATGGCACCATCGTGTTTCTCGCGCACTTTAACATGAGAATCATGAGTCAAATCGCAAATTCCTCACACATGCAACATCTACATTCAGGGCCGGATTTACCTACTTGCCACCCATGGACCGCCTGTATTTTGCCGCCGCCTTTTCATTCGTTTTGAAACATCAAAAACCATCAAGTGAACGTGCCGGAGGGAAAGGGATGCATAAGACACGTTTACCTACTCATGTTGGATGCATTTTTGCAAAAGCCCTGCCAACACTACTAGTAAAATTTCACGGAACTTTGCGCGAAAGTTAAGTTCCGTAAACCTGTCTCTATGTGGACAAGGTCCTCCATTTATAAGAAATGAACCAAAAAATTATGAAAGAACAAACATAAATGTGGTTGAATAATTTTAACTTATTCCGCCGCCGCGCCGCTGCGCCGTGCTGATCGTACTGTGTTTGGCGCAATGCGTGAAATATTCCTGCAGTCTTGTAGGCGCTATGCGTTTCACGCCAACCGCTCCTGACCGCATTGTGTTTGACGCAATGGGTGAAGTATCCATGCAGTCTTGTAGGCGCTAATATGTGTTACATGCCGACCGCCGCGTCCCGCCGAGGGCTTGTCCTTTTCATTTCAAGTCCTCGTCATCATTCCTCTCTGCGCTGAGCTCCGGGCCAAATTGCGTGTTTAGTTCCTCTCTCAACTCGACTAATTAAAGATGATGTCTCTTGTATCACCGAAAAACGAAAAAATTCGAAATTACTATACTCTCAGGAAAGAGAGATTTTGTCCCCTTTTCTGATTGCTAATTTTTTTTTTCTGAATCCGATTTTTTTGATACCTACTTTCAAAAAAATTGCAAAATTTGCCGCCATGGGCCGGCCCTGTCTTCATTGTAAGCCAGACTTAAATGCATTCGAGACTCGTCCTAAGCGTATTTAAGTATGGTGGAACCACGGTTGGGAGGACCAACAAAAGTCAGCTCTGCGGCTCCTATATGGGTGAAGCTGCACGACGAAAAAAACTTCGTGCATGGAACCCAAAGTCGAGGTCATATGGATCTGTGAAGAAACTTCAGGTCCAGCTGACGAAGTTTGGATCAGACATCTGAAGTACTTAGGTATGACTTCAGATGTGTGACCCAAACCCTTCGGCACCTGGACCTCAAGTTTCCTCAGCGATCCGTATGACTCTAACTTCGGGTCCCATGCACGAAGTTTGTTTTGCCGTGTGTAGGAGGGCCAGAAGGGTTTCTTATTAAAATTGATAGACGAAGCTATAAACAAAGAAGAGGGAAAGAAAATAAAACGAGCCTATTGGTTGAACTAAGGGGCCATCCATAAATTACGTCACCCAAGCAGGGGGAGGATGGCGGTACGTAACGGGGATGGAGGGGAGGGGGGGGGTCAAGCTAAGGATGACTTGAGCTTTCCTGAAGGCAAACAGGCTGAAAGTGTTTGTTTAAAATTTGACCATAACTACTATTTTTATGCGTGTTCTCCTCCAAAAATGAGGATACCTACGCTGAGGATGACGTAATTTTTAAGGAAGGTCTAACAGTGGATGACGATTTGATACGATCAGGGGGGAGTTAGATATATTGAAAAAAAATGGATGACGTAATTTATGGACAGTCCCTAATTATAGGGTTTGTCGTGGGCTGCCTTTAGTCAGTCTATCCTCACTTTCTTTATCCGTTGCAAACAGCCGCTTCCACCAATAGGATCCCTCCATTTTCCTTTCGTCTTCTTTTTCCATCGATTTGCCAATCAATTTCGATGATCAACCCACTAGTCCTCTGATATATACCTCCCCCCCCCCCCCCCNCCAAGAAAATGTGATAGATTTTGCGAAAAAGGTGTGTGGCATTTCTGTCAAGACTTCTCAATTTTCAACCCCTTTCCAAAGAGGTCTCCTCGATAGGGTAGTTTCTCTGTGCTCCCAGACGCACGCCCTCTTGATGAGGTGTCTTCTTGGCCAACCTACGAAAAATTCCTAATTCGACCTATAAGCAATCTTAGGAGCAAAGGTTTAAAAGCCGGAGGGCTTGATTGCACTGCGAAGTTTAATTTGATAATTTATTTGTTCACTCAATGACGCTTGCAATTTGGTTTTTGAATTTGTTGGGAGTATTTTCTTGGTGTTTTGAAGAAAATGTCCTCAATTCTTTGCTTGGAAATAAGCATGCATCTGTTCATGGATTAAAATACGGCATCAGATAAAACTTCGAAACGTTGCAATGACCTTAAACCCTGAGGCTCTAAACCCTTTAAACTACATTCTACTAAGGTGGCGAGTCGCACTAATTTCGGGGACTAAAGCTCAACAAAGCAACCATGACTCCCGATTTTAGAGTTTAAACTCGGTGTTAGGTCTGCACTCTAAAATGGTGCTCACAAATTTTCTTCATAAAGAAAATACATTAGTTTTAGATCGTAAAATTTCGCATCAAAAATCGCAGAAACCTTTTCTCTAACCATCACGTAAATTTTAATGTAATTAAAAAAAGTATTGGTTAATATCTTGAAGCACCACAATTGAGAGACATCATGATCGGTATATTCTAGTTTCACCATCGATATTCTGAATTCTATCGTGATCGTGCCATACCACTCATTCTAAACGCCTGACTCAAATGCGTGATACAACTATATTAACGTTCGAGTAGCTCAAATTACATAACCACTGAAATTAAGGAGCTCTGAGTTCTTCGCAGACCTTACACTCGTGTACTCGTGCCAACTTGCAGTTTGGAATGATTTCAATTAGAGTTATATGCACATTTGCACAATGCACATGCTTTCTTCGGAAAAGAGTTTAGACATCGAACTATCCTTCAAAGCAGATATTTGAGACAATATCATGAACTGTTTGACTGTAAAATCAAGAACTTTCGGGTACTTTACAAGGAGTGCTGTGAATTGAAAAATATATCAAGAACTCGCTAACAATTTAAAAGGCCCTAAAGGAAGCTTTGGAAGTGAAAATTTTGTACCCATTCCTCGTATTTTCTACCGAAGGCATGAAACATCTACAAACCCATGTTGCAAAAAAAGGCGAGATCGGGACTGATCTCCCAAAAATTATTAACCAAATCAAGTCAGAGACAGGGACATTCGAGGAAGTTTTCTGAAATGAAGGAATTCTAGGGAATCAAGGGATTAAAAAAATAAATTTAGTCAAGACTTCTTGGAGCGTCATGGACAGGGCCTGAGACAATAGTTCAAAGATAAAGGAATAAATTATCAAATTCATTTCATGATACAGTTAATAATTATTCAAAAGAGAGTGCTAGATCTCCTGGGTAGGAGAGTCATCTGCCACTGATAGATTAGGCATATCCACTATATTGGAGCAATTGGATGTTTGCAAAATGTAGTTTTAAAAAAAAAAATAAAATATTCAGTACACAATTTATTGAAAAACATCGGGTGTATTCTTGGTTTTTCCATCAACAAAAAGCGATTGCCCAATTTTTTTGTTTAAATTTTTGAAGCCAATAAATTGTACCTAGGCAAAAATGGGAACATCAGCATGAAAGGGTTATTCCTGGTTGTCTTAGTACGTCCTTAAAAATAGAGGATATTAATCCATTATCTATAGCCACTTCTGTTGTATTATCGTCGAACATGTAAAGCAAAGTAGTGAGTTGGTGAGCCTCACTAGAAATAGGACAGCCAGGACTTTTAATTGTGACAAAGTTTTCCGATACCTAGCTTCTCCTGATACCAAACCTTATGGGTGGTCACAAATGTTTAAAACCAGCAAATGTGGTGGTGCAAAAGTTCATACTTGCAAATACTTCATTATAACTGGAGATGAATTTGATGACATTTATCAAATAAAGGAGCCAGCTTTTACAGCCAATTTAGAAAAGAAATCTACAAATAATTTTTAAACACATCTGATTTAACTTGTGGAATAGAATTCCTTAAGCCAAAGTATTACACTTAAAATGGAGGACTTTCAATTTGTATTAAGTTACTAGACGATGGAACTTGGAAAAGCATCAACTCATCGGATTCAGAAAACCAAACGGCTTTTTGGAGTTATAACAGCCTATTTTTCAAAAACAGTCAGATTTAATGCTCTGTTCAGAGAAAATGAATCTTTGATCAACTGCTAGGAACAAATTAGTCATAATCAGAGAAAACTTGGAGCGTGATTTCATCTCAAACCCAAAGCGACAACAGAAGCTTCCAAAAATTTGAATAGAAACTGTTCCGAAAAAATATGGAACTTCAATTTTTGAAACTAATGTTCCGTGATTGTGACAACTTGCAACTAAATCAAATTCCATTCTGAATCTGGAACTAAAATCGTAAGAATCTAGTTTGCTTGAGTATTTGGAAACAGAAGAAAGAAATGGAAAAGCGGAGGTACTTTCTAAATTTTCCTGAAACCACTTTAAAAGTTGTTGAGCGACTGAAATAAACCACAAGAATAGAGATTTTTCACGGATGAAGGTATTGATCTTTTCATTACATTATTAGAAATACATTTGAAGTTTAAAAATAGTGTACCTATTTAAAGCAGAGGCAAACATTAAGACACTTCGGGTTCTATTCGACATTCCCTCACAGATACTTGAATGCGATTAGTTTAGCTCAATTTAGTAAAAAATCGACATCTTCTGAAATGACATGCATCTTGTCTCATGGGAAACAGTATTTTTACTGGAAATAATCCAAGCTAAAGACTTAATTAATGGTATTTTTGAATTGGCTACAAAACTCTAAGTTAAAATTTTCAACCAGCCCTAAAATTTTGCGATTGCTTTCCCGAGAGGGAAAATTAGTACTCCTTTGATATAATATTTTAATGACTTCAATCACAAATACTTACAGACTTAAATCACTTACTGAAGTGATGTTTAATCAAAAATCGCAAGAGCCATAATGAAAATTAGAGCCGAAATATGAATCCCAGCCTTGGCTAATTTTGTTCATATAATAGGAAAACTTAGGATAGTTTTACGTGCGACAAAAGCTATTTATTAGCAAACGAGGCAGCCGAGTGCTCATTTTCTGCAGAAAAATTAATCATAGGACCTACATGCAGCTACGGATGTTTCTCATTGCTTTCCAGGAATAATTCTAGGATGTTTCAGACAGTAGGACAATCTCAAACGGACGACTATCATGGCAAAGAAAAGAAGAGAGAAAAGTCTTCTAATACAGAAGGATTAAAGAGATGGTCCATCACATCTTATGGATTTTAATAAACCGATACAATTGTTTTCCATGCCCTAAAAATTTTCAACCTCCTTTTAACCATTTCTTGTTTTAAAATCCAATTTTAAACTGCAAGAATCTGCTCCAGCAAGTGTGAATTGATATTTCATGTATGGACAGAAATTTCCTGAGGAGGACAGAAATTTATTTGTGGTGGATCGCAAGAAAAAGATGTCATTTAGATAAATACTGACCTCTGCCAGTTATGAATCATACTTAAATCTGATGGAGAGAATTTAATATCTCACTTAATCACAATTTCTACTATCATTTGAGAGTGCTTGGAAGTGAAATTATGGCAACTTAGGTACATATTTAATTGAAGAAAAATTGAAAGGCATAAACACATTAAGTAAGGAAAAATGTTATGAACATCAGGTACTTACATGATTTCAATAACTAAAAGTGTGACTTCTTAAGTCTTTTTTGTCTATAAAAACTTTTCATGCCAGAATGCCTCCTTTTCTTATCATGCCTAGGCTGAGATGATGATGATGATGAACCAAAATTATCGTCTAAGGCTTCAATATCATTATTATTCAACGTTCCAAGTGTAAACGGTTTCTTTTCCTTTTTTTGGATTAGAACTGGGCAGTCTTTGGCAAAGTGCGTTACATCTCCGCACCCTTTGCATGCCCCTCCTTTTGGATAAATACCACGAGGGTTATCAGGACACTCACGAGAAATATGGCCTTGCTCATTACAAATGAAACATTTAGCAAAACGAAAACTGCCATGTTTCAAACGACACTCGTGGCTAGTGTGTTCTGTTGACCCGCACTTGTAACAGATACCAGTTTCTACAGTAGGCTCATTGACAGACTTCTTGTACTCAGGACAGTCTTGTACAAAATGACCGGACTTGCGGCAGTTGTAACAGACATTCTTCATTTCTCGCTGAAGAGCTTTCTCAGCTTTTCTACGTTCTAGCTGAATGGTTCGGACTATTTCACCATGTGGAATTTTTTTTTCCTGGTAAAGTTTTTTCCTTAGTTCATACAATCTTTTTGCATCTACCTCTTTAATATTGAACCCCTCAAAATTGACTACTTTTGTCACCTCCCCATTTAGAAGCATGGTATAACTTAAGTCGTCTCCACGACTTATGATGCCGTTTGAGTTTGTTTTTTTGAAACCAGAGGGCTCAAAATTCTTTGAGCGGTTATTGAATGGTCCATTTCCTAGTTTCTCTGCACTAATTTTAGAATTAAAAACTGGCTTACTGTCTCCATTTTCACTGCTTTGCGATTGATTTAACAGAAGAATTGAAGAGTTGCCGCAAGTAGTCCCATCATCAACCAAGAAGTCATCATACTCACTTTCTGTTTCTTTCTCTTTGGAGGCAGATAATTCTGCCCAAACTTTTTCTTCAGGTTGATCGACGGTGGGTTTGGCTGAGCTTTGTTCATCTTCATCACTAGAGCTGGTGCTTTCTTCAGAGTCAGATTTTTCCGGAGGGTTCTGCTTGCTTGATAATGACTGCATCTGCTTACGTAACTCTCCCCATGGAGTGCTTGGCTCAGGTAACTTCTCATTAGATGCTTTGGAGCCTTTGGCACGGGCAAAACGGGTCATATTGAAGAAATGCCTGCAACAAAAATCAAGTATGATAAAAATAGGAAAATGTGGGTGAAGGCAAAGTTTTGAATTCTAACATGTTTCTGAAGATGACAGGAATTATTTCTAGAGAAAATATATTGCAAACAAAATTCAGGCTAAACACACATTATTGCACTGATTTTGGCAATCCTAAACATGTGAACAAGTGGTTGGTCGGTAACGCAGTGAAATTCAAGTTAAGTACGCAAGTGGCGATGATGGGGTTTTCCGCCAAGCATCTGTTTCTAGATCAGAGAGGAAGGAAAGGTGAGACACTGAAGTTCTGCCACTGCTTGCCTTTAAATTACAAAAGTAATACATTTTGGGCAGCTCAATGTTTTCAATAATGCCAAATAATTTTCCTAATTTCATACCTTCTGAAACCTGCGACCAACATATACAGTTGATTTATTCAGACCATAAACAATTGTCTCATTACTCCAAAGTTTTCCTACATTTACAGTGTACGATCTTCAAAGAGTTCAAATACAGAAAGAGCTGTTAATAAATACTACATGGAAGAGGTGTTGCAACTCACAATTTATGTAGCGATTGGGCGACCAATCTGATCGAACGATTCACTATTGATGCCTTGCCGTTTGGATTGGGAGGTAGAGATGGTTCCGATCACAGCTTCTCCACAACTTCAAGGGGGAAAAAATATAGCGGTAAGAAGAGTAAGATTTTGGAGAAAAAGCAATAGAAAAAGTGTGACAAATTATATCACGTGGAGACAGTACCTCCTACCTCCAAATAATTTTCTACCCTCTCGTTGTAAACAAATCAAACTTGCAACTTAATAGGGCACAAATAAACTAAAACTATTTCTGAGAAAATTTACGATACAAATTACGAAAGTCAATAGAATAAGGAAATAAAATATATTTAATAATTTAAATTAAATTTAGATATAGTATAAAGACAAAATCTAAGTGAGAAAATATGAAAAGATTCATAAGGTGAAGGTGTGGATTATGCACATTGTGTATTCTGGATTTGAAAAGTCGACATCATTACAATAATAAACAACAAGTTAATTAGTTAACCTTAAAAATTCACGTTGTGCGTTGTGTCGTTCCGAATGTCCAGTTGGAAGAGTTACAGATCATAACTTATTATTCCAAACTTTTTTAGAGTCAAATAAGGATGTAATTAGTTCCTCAAGTTCATCAAATGTATCAGTTCCTCTGATATCCAACCAGTCATTGTGCATGCCTTTTAATTTCTGTGTTCCTCTTCTTTCTTAAGCGTGCATCGAGGAAAGATTGATGTTTCGGACAGTTAGATGATCCACCTCTTCTCATCACTGAAGAATTAGACCTCAATCACAATATGTCCACAAATTCCAAAAGAAGTAGTAAGTCCATTCTCACCCCACACATATTATTTTTTTTTGTTGTTTTTCTGAAAGACACCTAAGCGGTTACAACTCTCTCATCGTTTGTTGAGACATCAGTCAAATCTTGCTCACATCAACATTGATTAAAAATATCACTTCTTGAGTACATTTATTAACCTTTTGATGGGTGTTAATGAGGTGCTGGTCAGAGATGGAATTTTCAGGCAACATACAGATACGTTTGAACAAGCTTCAGTAGGCTCCGTTGCAGAGTTAGGAAAGGATTATTCGGAAATTATATGGTCAATCAGCAACGTCCTATCAATCGTTAATTGGACGAGTAATTAGATGTTTGATCTACCTCATCAGGTGGAAAATTCTGAGGAGCGAGCGTCTAGTCAGTGTTCCCGCACCAATTTCAGTAATTTCCGAATTATTCGCGCCCAACTCTGCTCTGTTGGTAGGAAGAGAGACTTATCCTAGCTTAAAGTACCTGCTGTAAATGCTCTAGAGCTCTAAAGCCTGTTTATTTTTATGTTTTTAAGAGGCTTTGTTCTCATGCATCATGCCCTAACATTCTTGGTATGATCGCATTATCGATGGCCTCCATCATTCATGCGGAATCAGCAGTCTGCCAGCGGAAAACCTCATCATAGCCACTAACTTGACTTGAATTTCACCATCCCACCTTTCACTGAGCCAATGTTCATCTTTTGTAAGAATATGATCAGTTTATTGGCGTTTTTGTACTCGTGTCTCATTGTTTAGTCTCTTTTTCAAGTATAAACTGGGGCTCCCGAACTTGCACTAATTCCTTTATTTCTTATCCGGAACTGTATAACTTAGTGTATTTAGCCCCAGAAATTTCATTTTCTCTCTTATAAGAAGTCATTGAGATCATCCATAGGTTTGAAAAACCTGATGGGTTTGAAATCATCCAGTTCCAAGTTCGCCCATGACTAGGCTAATTACTTGCAAACAAATACCTAGAATTTTAAGAAATCAGCTTTAGCAATTCTTAATTTCCTCAGTTTTATCTTGCATATCATTTGTTGTCAATATTTAACATGCTTCGAATGTGTGAATACTTTGAAACATTTTGAGAAGGGAATAAAAATTAGATCACTTGTCAAGATTGACAAGGTAGTCTCCTTTTAATGTGTATGTTAACTTTCATTTTTAACAAAAAAAGCAGAAAACTTAATGGTCTTTTAAATCAGCCACCTATTTTGTCTCAGTTTCCACTGGTAATTTTTTTTTTTCATCTTTTTGTTTTTTTTTTAGATTGGAATGAACCACTTCCTCCAGATGTGAAACAGGGATCAAAATGTTTTAATCCAGATGCACTAAAAACGCACACTGAAAACTTGGAGGAGCGCGAAAAAGCACTTATCAAGTATGCTTGTAAGACTGTCACCATTGAAACGATAGATACCATCAAAGCTGGTTTAGAAAGAGTAAGTTCTATGCCTAAGCAATTCACTGTTGTAGGTATGAAGAAAAGAAAAAATAAATGTATTTTTAAAAGAGCTAGGTAGGTAGATTTGTTTAGATTTATCAATCTGAAATATCTAGGTTACCCAAAAGTAACTGGACTACCTTCGCCTTGGCTATCTGTCATAAAATTTGACTTCTCTCTTCAAGGAGATTTCAAATAACTCTTAATGATGTACTGTGTCCATTAGCAAGAGCAGTGCATAAAACCCTCTTCAAACAACTTAATTTTTAAGCGTCTTTTGTTTCTTATTGACTTTCCTGTGAATTTCCTCATTCTGCGCGTTATAAAATACTGTAGTTATTTAGAATGAGTGACATCCCCAAAAGACAAGTGGCAACGACGGTTTATTTTTCACCACAGGAAACCCTGCCTGATATTGTAAAAATGATGATCTGAGCTTGCGAAGAATTTTGCCTCTATTTTTCGGTGAGTACATATTCCCTTTGGTAGGTATGACAGTAATTGTAGAAATATCAAAGGCAAATGTCTCTGGTTTTTCTTGCAATACAACATTTTGTCAATTGAGATAATGAGAAGTGAAAAAAAACACTAAGAAGTGGCCCGAGCTGTATGTAACAAGGTGGAGAAATGGTGCTGGGTCCACACCATTTCATGGGGAAAACAAAGCCAAAAGGTTCCAAAAATTAAGATTAGTGTTAAAATTAAATTTTTTTGAACTCTAATGCGCACCAGTACAAAACTGAGGGGGAGAGTGTTCAGCTCAGGCAGTTTGCATTGGAATATTAAGTTGGAGTCACGCTGAGAGATCTATACCGGTTTGGGCCTTTTTAGACCTCATCAGCAGATCACACTCGGCAGTGAACCCAACTTAACATGCCGCAAAATCCAATTATCTTTCTCTGATCTTAATTTTTGGAACTTCTTGGCTTTGTTTTCCCCGCGGAACGGTGTGGACCCAGCACGATTTCTCCACCTTGAAAATGAGAAGTTCAGAATGAATGAACAGAGCCGGAAGACAACGCATCATTCTACTTCTTACTTATATTTGTTTCAAAGCTCTTGAAATCTCTTCCAATTTTTGTTGTATTTTCCATATCAATAGCCAAAGTGTGAAATCTTGTATCTCCGTTAGTAATGTTGTTGACTTCCTGTCGTACTTTATTTTTTCTGTGGAAAAGTGTTCAATATAATTTCTTGAAAACTTCCCTGATTTTGCTTTTCTGTAAGCAGAATTTTCCGCGTAAATTTCAAGCTATAAAATTGACTTGTTTCTCCTCGAAAATGTAAAATAGGAGTGGAAATTTTGTAACACCGCAATGGAGATACGTTGTTTTGCACTTTAGCAATTTATATGATGCATGAAAAATCAGCAATTGAAATCAAACGCCTCTTAAGGCTTCTAGTGCTAACTTAATTCACTAATTTTCAAAAGTTCTCAATAATCATTAACTCCTAAAACATCTAGCATTTGACTTACCAGAAAATAATACATTATCCCAGAGTAAAAGGTCATTTCACTCAATTTTTGAAAACACAGAGTTATTGGTGTTCTGAAACTCTGCAATCACACCTTCATGTACGAAATATAGTAGCGGCGGCCAGTGCTGGTTCTAAGACACTGCGTTTCAAAAATTGCGATTCATATCGATTCAATCAATAAAGCGAATGCATAGTTTTTCCATTATCTTAAAATAGCTGAAATGGAGTTACGTTTGGACTCGACGGTATAATGATTAAGACCTTCAACTCAATGCACTCAATAATAGCTCTCAATAATTGTATTGTTCCTCATGAGTAGGTTAAAACTCATTGTCTGTTTAAAAGAATATTAGATTACTAGTTTTGTTATCTTTCAGAGACAAGGATTTAAATATACCAAGAGGAAAAGAGTGGATGAACCAACAAAAAACAAGACTTCATTATCAATATCAAAGAAGCGTCAATTGGGACTCTACAGCTTGCCGAGGAACACCATTAGCTATGCAGATGCTCTACCTATGCACCAGTTATGGTTAGAATACATTCAGCCGTTTTTACCAAACATGAAAGTGAAGCCTAATGTGTAAGTTTTTCATCTCAATAATTGTCTTTCTCAAAAAGGCCCATTCAAGAATTTAAAATATAAGAAAAACTGAGCCAGAGGCAGGAAAATTGAGGAATGAAAGATTTTTGCTAAAATTTTAGAGCGTTTAATAAGAGGGACCGGAGTAATTGCTTCTTGTAGAATTTGTCCAATTGTGTCTTCTAAGCATTTACAATTGCCAGGAGAAAAATTCAGGCAAGGAAAATCAAATGGTTTACTTTGAAAAATGCTCAACTCTATTATTGTACTGTCTCAGTTCTTTCTCATAGGTATATTTTCCCATGTGAATAGAAAACCAACAGAGGTATTCATTAAATGATGTGGAAAATTTTTATCTAATTGGCTGATATTCTTCACTAAAATTAAAATGTGAAACGAAAAATTGAAAAACTGTAATAAAATTGGGCTATTTTCTAAGTGGGCCTTTTGATCAGGACCTTGAGGGTCATTCCATTGTAACGGGTGTGACAACAATTTAACTTTAAACAAGAATTTGAACTCTTTCTTGGGGTTTAATTAAAAAATGGTCTGCAGCAGCAGAAAGAACTTTTTTTATAGATCATTTCAGTTTATCAGAAATTGTTTTTACTTTGTTCCATTCCTCAGAAAAAATTAAAAGGCATGCGTAACGGGTGTGACCAATTTTGGAAGTGAGTTTTTCCTCAGTGAGTGTAAAGTGGAAACTCAGCGAATTTTATGAATGTAAAAATCTGATTAAATTATATGATGAAGCCAAGGGTTTTTGCTTCAACTGCCGATCATCCGTTTTCGATTATCTGTTTTTCTTTCCTTGAAAAATGGGAAAGTTTGCGTAACGGGTGTGATGTAACGGGTGTGACGGATTGTCTCTCTGAGGTCCATCATTTCTGAGAGAGTTTAAAAGTTAAAAAACATACTTTTCTTCTCATACTCTTATTGTAGGCAATCCTAAACAGTAAATCAATCAACAGTTTGACGCATTTTAATGTAGAACAAGCCAAAACTACATTTTTCTACAAGGTGGCCCAGACCTACCGTTTGCGTCACGGGTGTGACGTAACGGGTGTGACAAATTGTCTCTCTGAGGTTCATCATTTTTGAGAGAGTTTAAAAGTTGAAAAACTTACTTTTCTTCTCATACTATTATTGTAGGCAATCCTAAGCAGTAAGTCAATCTGCAATATGACGCATTTTAATGTAGAACATGCCAAAACTACATTTTTCTACAGGGTGGCGCAGACCTACCGTCCCAGGGCTTTTCTTCGGGTAACCCAGGATTCCCCTTTCGTCCCTGCGGTCCTGGACCTTGCATGGCCCAAATTAACAAAAAAAAAAAACCCTGGCACGGTAGGTCTGGGCCTACAGTAAAGTGAAAATATTTCAATCAAATCGGAGAGAGTTCAACGAGCTCTATTTGAAGTCCTTTTGAGATGAGGTGTATTCACTTTAAATACTGAAATATGGCAAAAAAGTTGGATATCTCTCTCTTATTAGATGTATACATAATCTCTAATTATGCATATGAGTGTATTTTTTGTGATAACCATAGAAAAAATGGTGAGAAGTGAGCCAACATCTGCATAATTGAAGCCTCTTCTCATTGGTCACACCCGTTACGCATTTTTGCCCATCAATTGTTGAAATAAAAATTTGGAAAAAATACTCCAAAGCTGTACTTGACTTGAAAACGTACGGAAAAAATTGGCATCTCAAAATGACATGAATTAAAATAGTTACATAAAAAAACCCATGTTTTGCGTAACGGGTGTGACAGTCAGAAAGCTAAGTTTTAAAAGTTACATATAATATACAGTAACTACTTTTAAAAATTGAAACTTTGCAGGAGCACATTGAATCAGTTTCTTGACAACTGCAAGCATAACCTGAAACTTGGTTTTGGCGGGAACACCAGAAAACATTGCTACCAAACTGTCACTCTTTTTACAGTAAGATAAAGCTAAGCAACGGGGTTACAAAACACGTAAAAATTGCGAGAAAAAAAACAAAACGGATGTAAACCACATGTATTTCCAAAAACTAGGAGTATTAAGGAGTCCAAAAATAAATATCGTTGGGTCATTTGGAGGGGAAAAAAAAAATACCCCCCGGACTACCTAGGCGTGGAATGACCCTTGATAGAAAAAAAGAGATCCTTAAGTTCAATTGTGAGATCAGCTGTAATTTATGGCTGAACCTGGAAACAACGGTGTAAGTCGGCATTCACATAACTCGGTTTCGGACGTCGTAGACTTCCTGTCATGCTTTATTTTTCAAACGGAAAACTTTTCAACGGCAATTCTTTAAAACTGCCATGATTTTTCTCCTCTGTTTGAAGAAAAGTGTCTCTCTGTTTCAGTGGTAAAAGCCACCTGTATTTTGCTGCTGGGCCCTCATCATAAATCTGTCTACTTTTCTTAACCCCTTCATCCTCAGAGTCTGAAACTGTTCTTTGGTATCCTGCAATTCTGCTTAAGCGTCAACAGCTTATGATAGAATAGGTCCTACCATGATCTTTTAAGTTCAAACTTTACGTTCCTTGTCCATGAACCTGTTTCTCTGTAGATCACCAAACAGGGTGCAAATTAAGGACCTAAGTGCATGCTTCTTTTTTTTGGAAATTTCACCTAGAATACGATGGACACATCGAAAATGTTCAAATTTAACCAATAAATAAATTAGAGAATAATATTCTTTGTGTAAATAAATTCTACGTTCCGAGTCACAGAAAAACCAATTCCGGCAAAAATTAAATATTTCTAAAATATTAATACTGAAACCTGCTTAATTTTATATGAAAATTTTTCTCACATCCTGAATTCTCAAATCCTGCATTCTCTACATGTTAATAATCAACTTGTCATTGTGATATTTCTGTATAACGTTTTTATTTCATTTTAGAGAGCAGCGATTGAAATTCTTCAAGCAAGAATATATTGGAGCCATGATTGAAGTTGTTCGGTCAAAGTGTCCTTCTCTTGTCGGTCTCCGAGGAATAGTTATTTTTGAAACAAAATTCACTTTTAAAATTGTTTGTGAAGATGATATCTCCAAAAGTAAGTTTCTGTGTACCTATCATTGACTCTGCCCCTTTTATTTGGAATTTTTTAGTGTTTTAAAAGTTGAAGTTGAAGAACTTAATGATTTCACTTACTTTCACGAACTTAATGATGTCTGTTCTGGAGCCTCAATTTCTTAGTCTTTCAATAACAAAATCCTTTAATTCTAGCTCGAAAAAGAGGCTTGCTCCAAAAGTTCAGAGTGTTTGGTTGAAATTAGTGATCTGTGTGCACTGGCATTGATTTTTTTATTAACTTTTCTGTAGTGTCAAACGAATACTTATTCATGATCATCAAATATTCGTTTTTGTTCTTGGATATTTGATATTTTCATATGCAGGGCATTTATCTTTGAAAATTTTTTCCCACCACCCAGATATAATTCGTAGATTACTGTACAAAAAATGTCCGAAAAAATTATGAAACTTAGAATTTTTTTACTTCGTTTTTAAAATTGATAGCAGCTAATCTTGCGAAATCATTTCATGGAAGTGAATTTTTGTGGGGAGGGGGTACCAGAGAAGAAGATTTTTTATCATAATGTTAAAAACTGAAGGAAGCCTCGAAAACAAGAGGTTAATTGAGGACTTGAGCCTGCGACCCTCCTGGGTACAAGATGAGTTCAAGTATTAATCCATTGTGCCACCACTAAAGATTATGTACCAGGCTGATCATCATGCCTCCTACCTTGGATGATCATCAGGAGGCATTCTTGGTCAATTTTTAGTGGTCCATTGACAAAAGCCGAAAAGCACCCATCATTTAGCTGTGCTTTAACTGTTCATAAGACGCAAACCACATCAAAATCGGAGGCTGCCATTTATGATCCCCCTCCATAAGTCAAAGCAACAACTAATTTTTGCCAGCTTGGGAAAATCCCAACAGCTATCGGTAAAACTATATTAATCATAATAGAACTATTTCAATAGCTCATTAAAAGTCAATAAGATGCGTGTATGCTACAACTCTAAAACCGACAAGTATCTATTGACCTTAATCTTATTTTTCTCTCTTTCAGTAATACCCAAAGCATCCTGCGTTTTTTCAGTTATCATCGACAAAGTTTGCCTCACTATTTATGGGAATTATTTCGTTGTCAGACCAGCTGAGAGGATTAACAAGAAAATCAAACAGAAAGTACTGTTTGACCTGTAAGTTTTTTTTTCGTAATTAATTTAAAAGTCCCTGACAGAAGTGTTCTAATCGCAATCCATTTTTCAGTCCGTCCCTTCATCAATAGCTCTTGATCAGGGAAAATACATTTTTAGTCGGTGTTTTTGTTATACTTTTTAGTGATGAAAATCGTAAGAAATTGAAAAGTGTTAACTGATAGCTTATTACAAGAGCCGAACAACTTTTCCTTGGAAATATTTAAGATTATACCCTTTGTCCATAATAATTACACATAAGAAAATCTGTTCAGCAGCGAAAAACTCGGAAATTATTAATTTAAACTGTATTTTTTTAAATTTAATTTTAAAAAATTTAATATAATTGAAAATATTCCAGCCATTGTTCATCACAAGACATGGGGCAGTAAGGGTAGATAAAATACAAACTTTGTCTCAAATTAGATGTGATTTCCTTAATTTTATCATCCAACCAACAAGACTTCTTGTAGCAGTAAACTGCTCATTTTTTGTGGAAAAAAGCTTCATAAATTGAATGCCTTGAATCAAAAACTGCTCAACTCTATTGTGACATTTCCATCTCGCCAGTTGCTTTTTCATGTTTGCAAAGAACATCAATCAATATTTTTGATAAAAAAATTTCACACTTCCACATTGACAGTGAAACTGCAGGAACGTCTGTATCAGCTTGCAACGCTGCAGGCTTCCTGTCATATTCTATTTTTTAAGTGGATCAACACTCATTGTCACTTTGTTTTTTAACTTCTCTGATTTTTCTTAGTTATTTGAAGAATATTCTGTGAAAAATTCAAGCATTAGCGTTAGTTACTTTTCTTTTGATAAAATTGAATGGGAGCGCAGATTTTGAAATACCGCAAGTTAGATATATCTTACTGTAGTTCCACCGTCAATATCTAATTCCTATACTAAGAAATTCTTTGTTGAGTATCATTTTTGGTTTCTTTCGAATCCAAGGAAAAATTCAACTTACAATTAGTACTGAAACTTCATAATAGATATTAGGCAGTCTTTGAAGCAAACCATTTAATTGAGAATCATTCAGGGGTTAATTTCTGACGCATTGCGCAGTTATGAATTTAGATGCAAACGCTAAAACAAATTTATCTTGGGTCTGTGTTGAAAAATTACAGCCATTGTGTTTTAAGCACCACCCAAATTATCTTCATATTTGCTGAAAAACCAGCAGGAAAAATCAATTTATACAATGATTCAAGTATTTAGACTCCCTGCTCTATGAAAAATAGAAAGGCAGAAAACTAGAAAAAAATTTTAGAGCCTAAAGGCCCAAAATGCGTATGGACGAAAATATTCAAAAATTGTATGCTAATGAGTTTTAAACTGTCATTATGTTAATTAATTTTACCTTCTAGCTGTTACTTATTCTTCAAAAATCTGCTTATCCAATTTTTAATATCAATTAGAGAGAAAATCTTAGTGCTTCAGACCAAGTAGCTTATCCCCGAACAACAGATGGTGCAAAATACCAATGAGAGTTTGGTAACAGAACGGTGAAGCACAATACGAGTTGGAAGGTAAAACAAACTTTTATTTTAGAAAACTCTTGTTGCAAAATAAATCGGAAAAATGTACACTCTTTTTCACAACAAATAAGTTCAAATGAGAGGTAATCGACAAATAATACAAGAACTGTACAAGTACAAAAATAAAAGATGAAGTTCACAAAACAAAAATTTTAGGTTCAAGACTCTAAATTATGACTAGGATTCTAAAAATATGACCCCTGAGCTTGCGCAGCAATTTAAAAAAAATATCTGAGGTATTATTAGGAGTGGGAAATAATTTGATGATGTGTTTCGAGACTCTCCCAAAGTCAAGAGGTCACTTTCAGGCTTAAATTTGTCTTCAATTTATTGAAAATCTGTTAAAGTTGCCGTTAAGTATAGGAGTTAGCTGCAAAAATAAATAATTGTCTCTCTGAACAAGCGCAAGATCACATAATTTGTGATCATGCAATCCTCTGTTTTTGAAGAGTGCGAAAATTGACCAGAACAACAGCAATCAGTATGAATCGCTTTGAAAGCATTATATGAACACTGAAGTGGTGTCCATTTTAAGTCATAGAAAAATTGGAAAGAGGCACTGAAAATTGAAAGCTGCAAAAATTGACGTCCACTTGTTGCAATGTAGATTAAATTTTAGGGTTGCCAGTGAAATAATGAAGAAATCTCCTAATATCATATCTGACTTCCACTAACCTCACTTAAAAAAGGTGGGATTTTAAGATCCTAGCAAAGAGCTTTAGAATTATGAACAGTTTATCAGGAATTCACCAACACTTCTGTGTGTTCTTCAAAGTTGTTTGATGTGAAGGTCACCAGCAACCCTAAATCTTCGGATCTTGTCCTTTACAAATAGTATAAAATTAAAAAATTATCTTGTTTCACATCTTCTTTTCAAGAATGGTCTAACTCATTTGAAGACCACAAAATAACAGTCCCGTAGAAAAATAATTCTTTTCCCTCACTCCAAGGATTCAACAATTACATACAGATTATTTCTTTTGAACAAAATTTAGATTATGAATTATTGGTTCTGTTAGAATCAATCTAAGAAACAAAATATATATATTTACATAGATGTAGTCTGAACTAAAATATACAATCTTAACAGAATAATATCTGATTATCACAACAAATTTCATAATAGGTAATGCATTTAACACTAGATAAATATTTTATGAACTATGATCTTAGGATAAGAGAAGGAAATGGCAAGCTGTCTGAATTCATTTTTTGTTGAGAGAGCTTCGTTCATAGAATGTCATTTTAAAATGGCACAGAATAAATAATAATAAAAAAAAAGAACAGTGACTGATCCACCTGCACGAAAATGATTTGGACAAAGAATAAATTGTAGCTGCAAAAGTGAAACAAACGCAGAGTAAGGCTATCGTTAGGGAAAGGTTTTTTTTTTTTGGCAAAAGGGTTCAAATCTAACGCTATGCTTTAAAAGTGTCTGCAATGTATTACTCACGTGAGTAAATTGTGGAAAATTATGATAAAAAACAGTGACTTTCCTTGATGGTGTTAGTTAAGATCGCAGCGCTTTTGGGAGATCCTTGTCCTCCAAACTGGTAACCGAGTAAATTATTGCAAGCAATTTTGAAACATTTTATGGCCACCTTGCAAAAGCCAATGATTTTCAGAACCTAAATTGAGTGTACCGCGATAAAGGATACATTACCCTAGCCATTAAAAATACCTTGGTCTTAGAGAGGCAATTCTACAATATTTCATAACTTAGATTTCAATACTTGGAATGTACATGCTTAAAAAAATAAACTATATCAGTTCAAAACACTGGATTCTTTGAAAATAGTGAAGAAGAATAGCTGTAAAAACTTTCTTGTCTCTAACAAGATTTAAAAATTGACTTTCTTTCTGTGCAGGCAAAATTAAAGTCACCAACAAATCATCAGAAAGTGAAACTAATCCAACATCATGTTCGACAGGAAGGTGAAATTATCAATCTAAAATACCTCAGTCAGAGATGTAGTTGTATCCAATGTGATGAAAATTTTAGGTCCATAAACAGTTCAGAGAGAAATTTTGAGGAAAGTTGACACTAAATTTCGTTTTTCAGTTTAGACAGACAGAAATATTACATGTGCACCTATCTTAAGCTTAGAGCCAAAGAATCACGACTGGCATTTTTGGCAGATTCTAGTTAGATTGANAAAGTCACCAACAAATCATCAGAAAGTGAAACTAATCCAACATCATGTTCGACAGGAAGGTGAAATTATCAATCTAAAATACCTCAGTCAGAGATGTAGTTGTATCCAATGTGATGAAAATTTTAGGTCCATAAACAGTTCAGAGAGAAAGTTTGAGGAAAGTTGACACTAAATTTCGTTTTTCAGTTTAGACAGACAGAAATGTTACATGTGCACCTATCTTAAGCTTAGAGCCAAAGAATCACGACTGGCATTTTTGGCAGATTCTAGTTAGATTGAAAGAGAATAAACATATTCTGCAAATGTCTAGAAAGAGCTTCAAATGTGAGAAAAAAATTTACACATGATGTTGGAGAAACTATACGAAGCTCAAAAAATATCGCAACTTAAAGAATTGCAGGAAATCCTGTTTTCCTATGGCTTCATCAAGCAAAGCAAAATAGTGACTTTTTTAGAAAAATGAGGGGCCTTCTCGAAAATTAGTAGACAGAATTCTCCATAAGAATGATTGCTAGGCCAAGTGCAATATTTATTTTCTATGGAATAATTTTGCTCTTGTTTCAATTAACTACCTATGTAGAGGAAACCATGCCGCAATGCTAAACAAATGGTAATTTTCCTACAAAATTCAATTTTCTTAATCAAAAATTAATACACAAAAATCCTTAATTTTGTTGGGCACAAGCTCTATCTAGAAACTAATGTGAAATTCTGCCGACCATTTGCAATGAAGGGACCCTCTCCCAGACATTAGTGCTGGTTCACTTCTGGTAAAAGGTACATTTATTCTGTTTCAAATCAATTAAAATATGATTATGATTCTTTGACTTTAAGGTACAGATAGAACAAGAGATTTCAGAACCTGTTTCAACATCCCAGAGGCAGTTACAAGTCAGCAAATACAGGGTGAAGAAATCCCCTGAAAAATTCCCAGATGTTTCAGATTTTTGCCTGCGAGTATGACAAAAATTCCCTAATTTCTCCTATTGACAATACAAAAAGAAAAAGAGCGAAATTCTTGCCATTCATTTTTCTTTAAAAGCTCTGTTTTCTCTCGAAAGTTAAATTTTGAAATTCTTATTCCATTGATGAAAAAACTCAGAAGATAATGAAAAATTGAAAAGGCAGATAAATTCTTATGATCTAATGAAACTTCTTGAAGCTTTTCGTATATTTTATGGGTTGAAATTCCCTCCCGATTTTGTCTGGTCTTTCAGATATTTTAGCTATCTGAGCACCATGTCACATAATCAAGCTGACAAGTTATTTTATGAGGGAACGGTAAAGTAAGACTGTTCGAATAGTCTGTTCCACGCACTCAACCTCAAATTACACAAAATTAAACCATCAGCTCTGGATAGTCCTTTACTGAGTAGGTGCTGAAGGGGTTCTTGTTACAGGCCTTGAAATCTCTTGGTGCAAAATTATTAGAGCCAAGATAGGAAAGCAAATTCATTCCCTCACCAATATGTTTGCTTACTACATAGATGCGGAATTGTTTTTTATACGTTGTCGATAACTTCCACTGAAAACGGAGCAGCATTTAGCTACAGGGAACCATTTCATGGAATATTTCATAAATGTTTTCTTTGTTTCATTTTTATAACAAAAAGCCTATCGCTGAATATTAACTCGAAACTTTCAGTACATTTGTTTTTTGCAAGAAAAATATTTATCTCGGATATCAAATAGATTTGGTTGTTCTTTTGTTGAATAAAGAAACACAAGAGGAAATTTTGAAACTTTATAAAAAAATAGTTCCACATAGCAAAATACTGTCTGCCTGTGCAATAAGCATACATATTTTTTGTGCAAAGAAATGCTTACACGTATCTTGGCTACAAATGAATAATGGTCGTCACTGATTTTAGAGGAGGGCAAAGACAGCCAATTGGTTCTCAATGGAAAAACCTCAACATCGCATGATTCTCAAGCCTTAATGAGATTACATGAATGTCGATGACTGAAGTTGAAAAATGGGTTTCTCTTATTGCAATGTTGTGAATCTCATATTTTATTTTTTTCTAAAAAAAATTAATCAGCAGTTTGTCTAGAAATTTTCTAAGAACTTCCTGCACTATTTCAAAAATATTTCCACAAAATTTCAAGGATGTATTTTGATCACTTCCTTTTTGAAAAAATTAAATTATCCGTGATATAAATTTTTCAACTTCAGCCATCAATATCTACTTTCAGAAATAAAATTAAAGGTAACACTTAACTACCCTTAAACAATACATTTGTGACTTTGAGTTGAAAATTCTTTAAGAAAAATACATTTTCTAGCAACTAGAGTTACGGTAATTATCTATTCTGCCTACAAATGGCTTAAAAATGGTGTGAAAACAATGGTATAAACTCAGCAAAACAACTTTCTCCTTACACAGTAGAGTTCTTAAATTTAGCCTCAGCCCTCCCCAACTCATGAAAATTTCAACTTGCAACCCTGTTAGAATTATTCTCTGAAATTTTAGTTGATTTTCAAAATCAGTTAAATTAATAAATAAAGAAATAATGATAATTTGTTTGTATGAAACAAGTCGGACAAAAATGATTGAACAATAAGATATTCCAATTTTTTTTTCTTAGAAAAAAAAGGACAAACTGTGTGTGTGTACCCTGAACATGCATCTATTCTACATTGCTGAAAATAGTTGATTCGGCTGTCATGTCGTAGGTATTTTTAGTATTCAGGCGGAATTTAATTGGTAAACCTCGCATTTATTAAAGTGAGGCTTGGAATTTTTTCATTAAGGCGGAGAGAGAAGGGGGTACTAACTGATATTTTTTCAGAGAAAATAAGAACCAATCAGTTCAACATTTAACTATTTCAAAGAGAAACCTTAGAACTTTTGTCTTCCTCAAAGTCCAGAATACACACACAAAAAAAAATATTGTTTTAATCTTCAATGAAACCAAAGGATGAGGAATTTCAATGGAGTCATTTTCTGAAAAAGAAAAGGGGAGATTGAGTTTGGTTCAAAATGTCCATGATGCTGAGAGGAACTTAAAAATATTTGAATTGTCATAAATTACCTAATAGCTGAAACACTTAATTAGAAAATCAGTCTTGACATGAAGAATTCCCCTCTCTGGACTCTAATCTGCTTCAATGATACCATTAGGAGGTGAAGGTTGACTCGATGCTCCTAAAGCACTGATTGTAACATCGTATTGTTGATCGTTGGATAACTGTTGAGGCGCTTGAGGCGCGATTCCCCCGCCACTAGTTTGCAGGAAACTGGCACCTAAGTTGTACAGATTTTGTAGAGATAGTGTGCCGTGTAGAGATCCTAAATTGGGGTCCTGAAAAAGTGAGAGGAAAAATCAAATTCCGTGTTTTTTTTCTATATTTCATTGGCAAGGGAACGTTACTTATAGAGATTGACAGTTTTTGCCTTGTGGGTAGGTATGTAAGAAATAGCTTAAGAGAGGAAAAATTCAGAAGAATATTCTTGTGCACTAAACATAAAGTATAAGGCTTCTGCTAAAGTTTTGTCAAGGAAGAAACAATTAAGACTGCAAAACGTTGATTATCAGAATTGTGAAAATAAATTGAACCATGACTTCAGCCAAAGCTTCAAAAGCTACCCACCCAAAAAATGTTGGTGAAACTAAAATATTACAAATCTTGGTGGTGCCCTTGGTAGATCTCGTAGATTTTCTGGCATATTTCTCTTTTCGAAGAACAATCATCATTTTTCTGACAAAACAGGTACTTTTGAAACTTAAAAATTTTGAAATTTAGTTCTTAAGGTTCTTTCACTTTTTCTGTTTTGCCATCCATTTTCCATGTGTGATGACATGTTTCATGCCAGAGCTGATCTACCATGCAATGACTGAGCTAGATAAATGAGTAATAGGAAGCATGAGGAATGAGCCATTCAAAGTTTGATAAAAAATGTGATTAATGTTACAATATTCGTGAGAAATTATGGGGGTAAAAGAGTTAGGGAGAATACACACCTTTCTGGGCCTGCCTCTTTGCTTTGGAGGGTAAGGTTTAGCTCCATAAGAATGTTGCTGTTCCACATGGTATTTGAGCTTGTCCGACCTGGAGAATGTTTTTGCACACTGATTGCAGGCATAGGGTTTCTCTCCAGTGTGGGTTCTTTGGTGTCGCTGCAGATGTGATAGCCTTAGGAACTTAGCACTACAATATGTACACTGATGTTGCTTTTCTCCGCTATGCGTTAGTAAGTGACGCTTCATATTTTGCTTGTTCATGAAGTACCTGTCAACAGAAAATAGAATTACTTTTAATATGATATAAAATTAAGTAAGTAGGTAATAGAGAGATATAAATAGGATGTTCAAACAGTGCTCTGTTCACACTATTCTCAGAGAAATACAGAGCTAAGAAAGTAAAAAAACTTCCAATTTTGCTCTGATATCTACGTATCACGTAGAATCTGTTAGGTTTCATTTCGGGCTTCAACTTCAATTTTTATACTTCTTTGGCTTTGTTTGGCCTCAGATCGGAGATCACTATTTTGCAAATTTTCAACGCCTTTCCAAATCAAAGTGGAGGTTCCTGCATGATATGATGTAACAATTTATCATAAGGGCCTCAGTTAAAAGAAATAGACAAAATCCCCTCATTACTCAGTCTTTAAGTATGCCATAAATTTTTAGCGAAGTCAGTTTTCTGTTCATGGACAAACATAGCAACTAAATTCCATTTTTGAACTTGAGAGATAGGGTGAGCTTTGGCAATCAATTTGCCTCCTGTAAGCAAGGGGAAGATTTTACATGTGAATGCAAGTTCCTTGCACTTCAGGACTTAAAAATGTGTTTCCTGCCGAACTTAAAAGTTCTTGAAGAAACTTGCATATTGATGACAGTTATGTGCATTATCTGATGTAGCTCCCAGTTTAACAACGAGTAGCATTTTTAAGATAAAAGTTGCAATTAATTTTCATCTCAATAAATAAGCTATCGGCAAAATTTCTTTTTTTTAATCCACAAATAGGAAAATCTTCAATGATGATTTTATGTAATTTTACAGCAAAATATGGAACACGCAGAAATATGCAACTTCTTTGACTGAAGCACTTCCCATAAGTTTTAAGTCAAAGGAGAATTGCTTCAAATCAGAACCAGCCATTAATAATAATTTCTAGTCCTTAAATTCTACTCCACTGTATTCGATCCTTTCTGTAACAATTCTGAATTGCAATTGCAAGTATCTCATTTTTTCCATAGCAATTTTCTCTTTAAGATGAATGTTCTGAAAATTGCAATAATTAGACGATTCACTTCTTGGGGCTAAGAGTGAAGAAGACAACTAGGTATTCAAAAAGAAAAACAACTTACCTCCTACAAATTGTACAGAAGAGATCTTTGTCAGGTATCATACTCCTATTCATTAATTGGTTGGCAGGACTACCATTCTCGTACATGTTTTTGAAATCATACAGTGTCAGAAAGTCTTTTTGTACATGTTCAGGAATATTCGATAAATCTGTTCCCACGTCATCAAGTTTTACTTTGGAGATTTCTAAGCCCTCTGGGACGATACGTTTCTCACTCAAATGCTCCATGAATCCGTTTATAATATTGCTGGCTTGAACTTCATCTTTGCTACTGCTGTCATTTGAGTCATTAGAATGTGAGAGACAATTTCCATTCCCATTCCTGGTTTCGTTATTTTGTTCAATATTTTCATCCTGGGAACATAGAGGAAGAATGTGAGTAAAGCATACAATCAACATGAAAAAAAGCTTATATTCACCAATGCCAAAAAGAAAAGGATCTCAGGGCAGCCTTTAAGGAGGTAGGCTGATAACTGTCATTTTTAAGGCACTAGGACAAATGAATCGGTCAGTTAAAAAAGGGCTCAAGCGCTAAAAATAAGAATTTGAGAAAAATACCTAGAAGTAACCGTTTCAATTGAACCCTTATAAATCTCAGAGCTCTAAAATATTAAAGGAATGAAATAATTTATCACGTTATTCATTCATCTGCAATTTAAAACGGGTTAGTTTGTACATTTCCTCCTGCTTCTTTTGTATTTTTATATCTGGCGCTTGCGCTCTTTTGTAACTGACCAATTCAAATGTAGCCCATGCCGAGTGAAGCCAGCTAGGGTAACATCCAGCATTGAACTTGCAACTATTAGGTACCTAAAGCTCCTTTTTCAGCAAGTTTGTCTCAAGGAATTACCTATAATGCCCTCAGGGAGCAGCCTTCTTTCACTGAAACTAGTGATGAAAAATTTTTTTCATGAAAAAGTAGAAACATGCAAGTTTCCATGACTTATTAGGTGTATCAAAATCAGATGAAAGGGCCTCTGCATTGATATTTGTTCAAAATATTTCCATTCTCGAGCCTTGGATTGACTATTTTTTTTTAAAATCAGAAAATGCCCATGTAGGTAGGTATTGACAGCAACCAATTGCAGGAACACCAACATTGTGGGCTCCATTCACTTGAGCTTTAAAGGAGAATTGTGCTAAATTTTCGTTTCTTGACTTCAAGAGGCTTTCTCTAAAGAGTTGGCATTTCAGGGGGATCCGAATCTTAGATCAGCAGATATTCATAATTAGAGACAGGCATAGGAAGCCCCTTTTAGTGGTTTTGTAACTTCAGAGAACTCTCGATAAGGTGTTCAAAAACTCTCCTGAGTCTTGCTGTAATTTTCTAAGCCTTAAAATTTTTGGAAAAAATGTTAAAAACTTTTTAAAGAGTACCTAGTATTTTCTAAGACATTTTTACATAAATTTCAGTAGACATGCCTATGCCAAAATTTTCACTTAAAAATATTCAAAAGAAAAGGGGTTTTCTAAAACATTATTTTTGACCGTTTTTCCAAGAGTTTCTGAAAAGTAGAGGGTCGCTGTTGCAAAGGACTTTTCAAAACAAGATACTCATCGCTCCTAACCAGGGTGTCTAGCATCAGGAAAAACCGGAAAATATCAGGAATTTTGGCCGATCAGGAAAAAATCAGGAAAATCGGAAAAACTGGACGTTTTATCAGGAATTTTTCTTACGTGAATCTCCTCAATGGAGAAAATCTTCCTGCTTTTTGCCTACAGTGCCAGGAATCGAGAAAAATCAGGAAAATATAAGGAATTTTCAAAATGAAAAAAGCAGGAATTTTTTGTAAACTATCAGGAAAAATCGGGAAAATATCAGGATTTTTCAAAATTAAAAAATACTAGGGGCTTATGGGGCTGCTTCGCAGCCCCTGTACACTTTTCACTTTGAACTTTAAAGCAATAAGGTCCATCANTCAGGAAAAAATCAGGAAAATCGGAAAAACTGGACGTTTTATCAGGAATTTTTCTTACGTGAATCTCCTCAATGGAGAAAATCTTCCTGCTTTTTGCCTACAGTGCCAGGAATCGAGAAAAATCAGGAAAATATAAGGAATTTTCAAAATGAAAAAAGCAGGAATTTTTTGTAAACTATCAGGAAAAATCGGGAAAATATCAGGATTTTTCAAAATTAAAAAATACTAGACACCCTGCTAACTGATACTTAAGCACACAATTTTCATCCTTTGGAAAACCCTGGATTCAACTTTAAAGTGTTTAAAATTATTAATTTTACTTGACTGCCTCTCGAAGAACTTTTAAATATGAACTAACAAAAACTGTACAAGCAAACTTACATTCTCGTGCAAATCCATGGGCTCACATTTGACCATGGAGTCAGGGGATTCACTCTCAGAGGCAGAATCATCTTGGGGTATGCTCTTTGGTGCTGGTTCAATTTCCACCTCCTTTCTCGGAGACGCTTTCCCTGGTTCTGCACCCTTCTGAACCAACCCTTTGACCTGCAGGTCATTGGCCACTTGCAGAAGGCAGGGTAGATCGTCTTCGTGGACATCTATCGCTCCTGCGTACATGTACTCCAAAATTGCCTGCATCTCCTGGCGCAAGATCCCTTTCAAGATGATGACGGGATGTTTGCATGGAGTTTCTTTGAAGATGGTCTCGAAGTAAGGACTGCATGCTGAGAGAACCAGTTTGTGGGCCTTCAGGAAACCGTCGGCGCATGATATCGTTACATCAACCAAGTGTTGTTCGTTGTAGAGTGATTCGAAGAGTGTCTGCAGATTTGAAAGGTGGTTGTTCCAGCGGAGATGAAATGATTTGCCGCTGGGTCGTGCCATGTTTAAAGCTTACAATCTGCAACACATTAAAAAATGAAAATTATTTAGGAGTTCATTTCTGTAAAGAGCGACAGGAAAAATCATCACCTACTTAAAATAATAATTCGTGAGAGATCATCAGAGTAATGTAGGTACCTTATATGTGTTAAGGAAGAGAGTGGGGCTTTTAAATATGAGGAAGATTGCGCTTAGATTTCATGAAAAAACTGCGTCTGCGCAAGGCCGGATTAAGGGGGTGGTCACATGGGCCGCGGCCCATGCTGCAGGCGGCAAATTTAGGGGGCGGCAAATTTTGCAATTTTTTTAAATGTACCTATAAAGAAAAATCGGATTCAGAAAAAAATAAAACGAACGAGAAAAGGTGACAAAATCTCTCATTTCCTGAGAGTATATCTCTAATTTTGTCGTCCTTCTGTGATACAATAGACGGCACCTTTTATTTGTCGAGTTAAGACTAAGAGAGAAACTGAACACGGAATTTGGTCTGGAACGGCGCGACGCAGAGAGCAATGATGACGAGAACGTGAGATGAAAAGGAGAAACCCTCGGCGCGGCGGTCGGCATGTAACACATATTAGCGCCTACAAGACTGCATGAATACTTCACGCATTTCGCCAAAGACAGTGCGGTCGCAGCGGTCAGCAGCGGGCAGCGCGAAACGCATAGCGCCTACAAGACTGCATGAATACTTCACGCATTGCGTCAAACACAGTGCGTGCAGCAGCGGTCGGCCCGAAACGCATAGCGCATGTAATAAGACTGTAGGAATACTTCACGCATTGCGCCAAACACAGTGCCGTCAGCGCGGCGCGGCGGCGAAATAAAATTATTAAACCACATTTATGTTTGTTCTTTCATAGTGTTTTGGTTCATTTCTTATAAATGGAGGGCCTCGTCCGTAGATAGGTTTACGAAACTTAACTTTCGCGCCAAGTTCCGTGAACTTTTGCTGGTTTACAGGGCTTTCGCAAAAAATGGGACCAACACGAGTAAACGCGTCTTATACGCCTCTCCCCCTCCGGCACGTTCACTTGATGGTTTTTATTGGTGTTTCAAAACGAATGAGAAGGGGCGGCAAGTAAGTAAATCCGGCCCTGCGTCTGCGGCGTTTTTCTTCACCGAAGTTTCGAGGTTTCATCTGCGAAAGATGACTTGCTTATGACAAGCAATCGAAACGGTGGGCATCCTCAACTCGAATGAACATAGAAAAAAAGAGCTGGCTTCTTAACTCAGCAACTCAGCAAGAAACTTAAACAAGTGCATAAAAATTGCCTCCAAGCGAAACAAATGCAAGCTGACACGACATCCGTGTTGATATAGGTATCACGTGCAATTGTGAGGTTATACGATGAATCCTTTAAAACGCCTTCAAAAAACAGCCACATTCCGAGAGATAACTATTTCGACACTAGTGTCGTGTGTGATGGCATACCCTGGCATTTGAAGGCGCGTTTGATCAGTCGTTCAGAATTCTCCACTCTCTTTGAGAATAAAGAATCGCCAATATTACTTGTTGATGTGGCATCACGTCATTGACACTATTGCATTCACAATTATATACAATATTTAATTTTTGTTTTCATCTTTTAAATTTTGAGTCAAAATAGAGGGTTTAAAATCGTGCGCAAAATATGAATCCATCCACGCTTTCGTCCTGCATGAGAGTAGGGAAAATTAGCAAAATTTTAGAAATTGGAAAATCGTGTTCTTGTCAATTATAGAATCGCTTGAGTTAACTTTGCAACCTTTAAATGGGATTACTTCGCCCCTTCGTCAGAAAAACGTCGATATTACATCACAAAGAGTCTAATTTTGACCATAATGATAGACGTTAAAAATCATCGTGTTCAATCCTTGGTCTTGCAGCCGCATAGAATCAAATTCTGCCTAAAGCACAAGGTTGAGGACTCGAGCAGTATCGCGGCGTGCTTTGCGATACATCGATTGATCTGCCGTTTAAACCTATGGAAAAGGATCGATAAACAGGGTGTTTGCAACGAACACCTTTAAAATCAATTCATTACTACAGCTCCAAATGGGGGAAATGTCTATAATCGATCATTTACGCCTCGCCACTGGACTTAAGAACACAAAGTGCGAAATATCAAGCAATTCTTGATAGCTACAAATCAAAAGATAAAAGTGGCAAGACGGGAGAGGTCGCGGAAATTTGAGATCCGCGTGGTTACGGGATGAAGTAACTTCCGCTGCGGCTGGGACATTCCGGGGGCGCGCTCCAGAGGGTGCTAGTTGTTACGTCACGCTTCGATGAATCGCAAGAAATCGGCTGCGGCCAGGTTCGATCCGAAGCAAGTATATCCTGTCTCTTACAAACCTACTTGACCCACATTCTACACGAATAAATTTACAGCCCCCTATGTTTCAAATGTAACTCCGGGAATGGAGATGTTGATGTGTGAGGAATTTGCGATTTGACTGTTGCTTCTTGTGTGAAAGTTCGCAAGAAACACGATGGTGCCACTGATTTTCTCTGAAATCAACTCCCAAGCTCAAAAAAAGTTCTCAAGTTGAGGCCAAAATGGAGGGGATATCCCACGCTATCCTGAGAGTCCACGTCTACATCAAGACAAACTCTCCATGCAAAGATAGGGAGCAAATACATTAGCAGGGTTGCCGTGTTTTCAGTTTTGGAGTCCCCAATTATTAAAGGGGGGCTTGTCAATGTATTTGCTCCCCATCTTTGCATGGAGAGAGTTTGTCTTGATGTAGAAGTGGACTCTCAGGATAGCGTGGGATACCCCCTCCATTTTGGCCTCAATTTGAGAGCTTTTTTTGAGCTTAGGAGTTGATTTCAGAGACAGCCAGTGGCACCATCGTGTTTCTCGCGAACTTTTACAAAAGAATCTAGGGTCAAATCGCAAATTATTTCACATGCAACAATCTTCATAACTAAAGTTTATGAATGGAGGAATTAAGCATGCATCGCTAAATGAGGAAATCAAGCGCGCAACTATTCGAACTCCGGAGTAGGTATGCGGTATCACGCTAAAATGAAGGCAAATTTTGGCTTTTCGTCTGTCTGACGTTACTGACGTTTTTAAATGCCGCGATATTCACGTGAAAAATTCTTTATCCGTGTTACATTTAGGGTTAATTCCTTTGTTTTCATTGTTCTAGAGTGTTCATGCCATTTTCGAAATTCGAACTAGCAAGTTTCATCAGTGCAGGTACATCGATCTATCGCTCGCGTGCAAGTTAGTACATATCGATGCGCGGAAAAAAATTCAAAACATTGGAGAGCAGCTGCACTTTGAGCTATTCAAAATTTCGAAGTGCCTTCCTTAAATAGGCGGCATGTCGCCGGGAAGGGGGGGGAGGGATTGAAAAAAACCCACATTTGTTGGTATATTCCTGCTGTGCCCGTCCTCTCCGCCGATTCACCGAAGAACATTTTTTTTCTTATTTATTCGACCTTTTATGAATATTGAATTTTCGAAGTTCAGATGGTGTTAATTTCGAAAAAAGTGGGTATCCTCCAGGTCTTTTGAAAACGAGTGCGTCACTAGACGGTGGCAAAAATATCCCATAACTTTTTTTGAGTGGCATTTTCCTCGAAGCACCACGAAAAAAATTTGAGTAAAGGGAGGAAAAACGGAATTCTGCTTAAGTGCTGATGTCTAACTAGGGAGCTTCATTCCAGCCTAGTTTAAGAGGGAAACGGTCGAGAGTATGACAAATTTGCATAGGGAGCGAAATTTAAAAAAATCTCAGAAAAAGCCCCTAAAACAATCGGAATTTACTGAACTAGCTCTGAAAAAATCGTCAGCCTTAAAATCCATTGGTGCTTTGGAGGCAGTCACCTCACTCCAACTCTTCCCAAAAGGTTCCCATCACGTTCCCTCTAATTTTAATGCTCCGATGTTAGAATCCGCAAAACCAAACAATGCTCTTGGCTCTTTGGCCCAGCAGTTTTGGGTGAAGCAATTCGAAGTTTGATTTACGACGGTCGTAAAAACTTGCGAATCAATAAGGACACGCAAGTGGAACGATGTCGAAAGATAATACATATACCTGTTAACAAGTACAAAAATTACAAAAAAGAATGTACCCTATATAAAAATGGTCTCAATTACAACATGTCCTTGCTCCAAGTTTCTCGTTACAGGTAAATTGTTATTAGACTGAAAAATCAGAATTTAAGTAGGTACAGGAAATCCGTGACCAAAATTATGAAGAATAAGTGGATTACATTTTGCAATAAGGCACCACTATTTCCAGCTCATTTTAGAAACAACATATGTATGCCATTGATTTCCTTACGCAGATACGTGCTTTTATGGAAGAGCGAGAAATAGTGGTTCCTTATTGCAAAATGTAATCCAAGTAAAGCTGAGAAAAGTATCATTTGAGGAGCTAGTAGCGCAACAAAGTTCCACCGGGCCCCCCGCGAAATTTTCCAGTCCGATTAGATTCTAAAACGACCTCCTTGCTCCCCGCCTTTATCCTTCCTCTCCACCCTTTTCCACGTCTCTCAAGGCCCGAATTAAGAAAATTTTCGAGAAAATTGCTCTAAATATAGCTTATTCCTGATAAATATTGGCAGTAGGAGCTGCGTTTCAAAATAACAGGAATTCTTATTTCCCTAGAAAACTCGTTTTTAACGACGGAAATATGGCAACGTCTGAATGCTCATACGGCGTTTTTCCTTAGCACGGCAGTATATAGCAGGGTCAGTCTTCTTTTGGCGGATACCCCTCTTTCAGAAAATTTAAAAGGCGAAGGAAATTATGAGTTTGACCATAAATGTTTTTGACTAACAGCAAGTATCGTCAGACTCAGTGGCGTGGCGAGAATAATCAGTTATCGATATCTCGCCATTTGAAGCTATGGTAAAGAATCGATTATTAAGGTGTTCGCTGCAAACACCCTGATAATCGATCTTTTTTCATAGGTTTAAATGGCACAACAATCGATATATCGCAATTCACGCCACGCCACTGGTCAGACTTAACGAGGTGCCCGACAAATAACGAGTCGCTCTCGGCTTTTGAAGTTTTTGTGCCAGTGACTTTTTCAATTAGGAGCTTTACGATACCTATACTTCTTGTGAAAAACAAAAAAAATGCCCAACAAATGATTTGATCAGAGCAATTTCGTTATGGGACGGTTATCATTCTCGCGCAAGATAAATTGGTGAGATTAAAAGTTGAAACGACGCACAGTGGAACGAATCTTTGGAAGAGGCCGAACATGACATTTTTCACAAAAATCGTAAAATTTTACATTAATCTCGTCACAATTTCAATGTTTAGGGGTGTTATAAATAGAAACTTTTACGAGAAAACCAATGAAACTACTTTCAAAACGTCAACATTTCATATCAATGAAGACATACGCTTTTAAAGTATTTAAATCATGTCCAACCTCTCCCATTGACTCGATCCACTGTGCGACACAACGTTAGGTCAGTTTTTCCCTGAGCTCGCACCAAAGAGTGGAGGACGAAGGGGGCTGAGGGGGGCGGGGGACTTGACAACCGTCTTGATTTTTCAACGATTGTATGCTAGCTAGATAGTGGTCTTGTACCAGATTAGCATGCATCAACTTCTAATTTTTTTTCCTATCTTTCGTTCACTTTTCGAAGACAAAACAGCCCAGAGGTAAAATGCAAAAAGTAAACTGAACGGGAGTTCACCTACATAGAGCCGATGCACTCGGCGCACGCGTTGAAACACATTTGGCGCGTTACATAATACCAAGGTCTTGAAATTTCGGTCCCGAACATTTTTTTATGTCCCGTGTCAATAATTCAAGCGGTTATGTAACGGTGTCTTTATTTTTCATTCTCCTTTATTATTCTATCAAAGCTCCGGCGAGAGAATTTAATGAAAAAGAGGGAGCTGTTTGAATATTTAGAGCTTTGGGATTCTGCACACCGCTGCCATCGTGAACTTTATTCCTCTATCCTCCTTCCTAAATAGGTGAAACCCAATTCTGCCGTGCTAAAGAAGAACGCCGTATGAGCCTTCAGACGTTGCCAAGTTTCCTTCGATAAAACCTAAATTTAGTGGGAAAATTGTGAATATTTTTTTCTTAAATTTTCAGACAATTTTGACCGCAGTTTAATCTTAATTATCAGAAAATTTCAAGGACGAATAGGCATAAATGTCGACAAAAATACGTGTTTTATCTAGTGAAATTCGGCAACTCTCGAATGTTCATACGGCGTTCTTCCTTAGCACGGCAGAATTGCTAACTGATCTGTTTCTACTCGCTGAATTCATTCCTGAATTTTAAGCAAATGCGGCAGTCGGTTGCTTCTAGTCAGGTTGAAGGGGAAGGCGGGTCCAGCGTTTCTGGATCAGGAACTCTCCCCTAAGAAAAATTTCTGACAACTCATCTGATGGCAGTTACAGCTTCCTTGTAAAAGCCCTGAACTATAAGCAAATAATGAAATGACCATTCCTCTTTTCCAGTACCAGAGGCAGGTCAGTAATGATGGGAGGGGGGGGGAGTATCCCTAAAAGAATTCTTTTCGGCAGAGCCACGCCAGAAGGGAAATTAGACAGGGTTGCACAAGAGCAATGAAAAATATGAAAGCTCGGCTATTTTCGTGAAATATTTCTAAATTTCACCAAACTTTGAAGAGAAGGATTGACATATTTATAAGGGTTGGGTATGAGACACGCACTAAATAACACTAAAAAGCAAGAATAATTTGCCTTCCGTTAAATCCTGCATTTAGGTACCTAAAATCGATAAAATTCAACATTTTTCCTGGAATGTCATGACATATTTTGTACAAGTAGTTTCAAGATTTTATTTTCATGAAAAATGGCAACCCTGAGAGTAGTTAGCAAATCGCCGGAGGGGGCAAGGAATCTGGCCATGGGGCCCAGTGCCCAGCCTCCCTGTCGCTACGACCGCAGCTCTCCTCCGAGAGTGTAAGAGAAGCGCACGATGAACTTCTGTTATTACGTTTTAGAATTCACGTGGACATTTTTTCCCCACGGAAGTCAAACCCAATTTTTTTTGAAAAATGTCAACGGTTAGGGTAGAAATCTAATCGAAATTTTGACGAATAAATCTTATGACAATGATTTCCTGTGCTGCCGTGCTAAGAAAGAGCGCCTTGTGAACATTCGAATGTTGCCAAATCCGCAGAGACACCGCATTGGCAGCATATGGAAGAGTATTGAGAGCTCACGCTTCGCGTCATCGCGCCTTCAATTTTTCAGACGCAACACGGACATCCATCAAGTGCGAATAGTTGTATCTGTATCTCTGCGCCGTCGTAAATACGCACCCTTTCCCTCGCTTTATTTCCATATTGTGTTTGTTTCCGTTTGTCCTACTTGTAATGATGCTTCAAGCACTACGTGAGTAACACAGCCGAAGGTAAGATAGATGAGTTCGGCCCTCTTTTTTAACTTTTCTCCCGAATCTGAGCGACACCGCATTGGCAGCATATGGAAGAGTATTGAGAGCTCACGCTTCGCGTCATCGCGCCTTCAATTTTTCAGACGTAACACGGACATCCATCAAGTACGAATAGTTGTATCTCTGCGCCGTCGTTAACGCGCATCCTTGCCCTCGCTTTATTTCCATATTGTGTCTGTTTGCGTTTGACTTATTCGTTATGGTGCTTCAAATTAGTAGTCATAAAGCAGAGCAATGTGAGTTCACGACTCACGTCATCGCGTCTTACATTTTTCATATGCAATGTGGACATGCATCTTGTGCGAATAGTTGTATCGCGCTTACACTTTAGATGCCTCTTATTTTTTAATTTCGAGTTAAATACAGGTAATTTTGCCCAAGATATGCCATGGTATCTCCAAATCAATAGTAATTTTGAAAAGGAAAACATTAGTTTAAAGGTCTCTCAAGAGGTCTATAAAGGGTGCGTATATCTAAAAATCTAACCGACCATCGCTTGTAAGGGAGTGACACATTGCAAATGAAGGGGAGGATGATAAAGCGCCTGTTTGTGAACAAAAAAGTGAAAAGTTCACAGGAAAGTGTTTAAGCTTCAGAAAGTAGTTCTTGGACCTCTGTTCACCAATATCATGCGTAAAGGCACCTTTCTTTACTCCTAATTCTCTCTTTTTCCGTTCATTTAAGAAATTTTCCGCATATATTCTCGGTCGTAATTTCTTTTCTCTCCTTATTTTGCTATCTGTCAGAGGGGCGAATTTTCGGCGCGCCAAGGGGGCTCATCTGCCAATGGCAGAATAGCTTTATGGCCAGTCTGACTCTGATTTTGTCCTCCGTTTAAACTGAATTACCTAAAAATTTCAAGGAAGAGTACGCATAACTTTCTTCAAGCATAAATCTTTTATCCGGGGAGAATTGGCAACGTCTGAAGGCTCATACGGCGTTTTTCTCTGGCACGGTAGAATTCTAACGAAGGAGGGGTGGCGGCAATGCTGCCGTGCTAAGGAAAAACGACGTATGAATATTCGAGAGTTGCCAAATTTCTCCGAATAAAACATGTGTTATTGAAGAAAATTATGCGTGTTTTTTCTTGAAATTTTTTCGATGTTTTAGATTGGATTGGAAACAAAATTGTCTGAAAAATTGGAGGGAAAATATTCAGAATTATCCCAGTAAATTTGTGGGTTGCTGAGAGAAATTTGGCAACGCCTGAAGGCTCATATGGCGTTTTGCCTTAGCACGGCAGTATATGCTGCTCTCAAATAAAGAATGAGTCTAGTCCGCGTGGCAAAATTTCCCACAAAAAACATGGTAGCCTTTATCAGTGGGAGTTAAGCCGGGGTGCTGGAACCCCCCCTCCAGAAACGGGTTATTCAGCGGTCATTTTCGGTTGTTTACTTCGGGTACTACAATTAAATCTTTTATTTAGGGTGCCCTTGGAATATTGAAGGTTTTGAGAGACTGGAGAGGCCCAGATATTAGAACTTAAGGGGTCATGGCGCCCTGGAAGTTAAGACTTTAGGGTCACTCGTTACCTATCGGAAACCTGCCAGTGAAATTTCAATGGAACCAAGATGAGGATTTTCGTGGCCTCCGCCTATGACTATGTCCATGAACTCATGAGCTCTGGTTTCAATACTTTATCGGGCTGTTAAGACGACGTTTCGGTGGGCTTAGAGAGTACTTTTTTGGAGTAAGGATGAGGGGGACCGAATTGGAGAAGAACCAATAAGATTATCTGCAAAGTGAGGAAAAGAAGGAGCAAAGTGAAGGCATTTGGGACAAACCGCGCAAACTGCCTTCAATTTACGAAGTATGCAACCCGCATTAAGAGGGCCCTTTTAACCGCGAACTCCCCGCGCCCCTGACCCTGAGCGTTAATCCGACCCTGGTTGGTGTGAAATGGTATGAATTTCGTCATCTAAAAAATACTTTAGTCCTCCTGAAAAAACTTCCTCTCCTCATGAGAAAATACCTTCTATTTAATACCGAATTCCAGGGGTTACGTGATAACGGCTGGGATCAGGTCGCCACTCAATTTTTCACTTGTTTTTATGTGTTTTGGCAGCTGAAAATGAGCTGGTAACAGCTCGAAATGTCCTGCCTTTTAGTATTTTTAATATTTTAGCCTTGTTTACCCATATTTTAATTATCTCCTTATTCTTTATATAATAGCGAGCATAATTCTCTCTTCAAATATGAAAATGCCGCATACACCGGGGAATAAAATGTTGAACGCAAGTGAAGATATCGAGAAATAAAAAAGCATGGCTGGGAACCGGGCCGGGAGGTTCGGTTGAGATATTCTCGACGGAAGCATAGCGGGGGCAAGCGATGGGGGGATTGATAAACTAGGGCGACGCGCGTCGCGCGGCGATGACCATGAAAACAACGTGGTTATCAACAGATTCGGAGGTGATAAAAGATGACAAGACAGAAAGAAACGTTTCATCGCTGGCTTACGCGGAGTGGGTATCCAGTGCGATCACAGCAACTATCCGAAAGCACGAAACGGATCCAATCCTGAAATTCCTGTCGAAGTAATCCACCACTGAAACTCGAGACACAACTTAAACAGAGGGTTGATCCGGTGCAACACCCCACGATATACACAAATTCCACACCGCTTCGCAAAGCCACTTACCGAAAGAGCAAAAATCCTGGAGAGAAAACGGGAAAAGTCACAGGATCCACATGAGGAACACAAAATCACGGGCCCGAAACTCAACTCGCGAAATTTTCGATAAACAAACTGAGGAGTCACGCACGCGGCACGACCAATCCGCGCCGGAGTTCGCTCGCTATTCACGATTTCACGGAAGCGAGCAGCTGCCCTCTCTGCCCCCTCTACGGCACCCCTCATCCCCTCCCCTCCCTCCCGCCCGCCCGCCCGCCCGCCCGCCGCGCGCGCTCGGCGCTGTTGCTTGGCTTCGCAACATTGGGGAGGTGTAGGTTTTCTGTCCCCAACGGGGGGAATTCAAGAGGGGGTCTGACGTCAAAAAAAAAGTATAGTAATAAACCGTACAGTCCCCTTCAGAAATTAAACTCCTCCCCCCCGCGCCCGGCCTCCCTCGCCCTTCGGCGGGCTTCTTCCACCCCACGCGATTCCGCCGAGCGTGCAGGGCTTTTCTTGCATTTTGGAATTTTCGCTGTCGTCAGTGGATTCGGGCTGTCGTCGTCGTAGCTTGCCGCTTCTCGTTCGGATTTACGGTTGTCCGATGTTGTCGATGAGCGCTCGCAATGCCTCCCTTCCAGCGGGACGATTATTGAAATTGATAGACAAAGCTATAGACAAAGAAGACTAAAGAGATACGGAGGGATCCTATTGGTAGAAGAGGGTGGTTACGATGGACAAAGCAGGTAGGTAATAAGTAACGGCAACCCACGAGGGGCCCGATAGTTAGTCCATCATTGTCTCCCTTAGTCCATAGGAACCACCCGTTTCGACCAATAGGGTAGCTCCATACTCCCTATGTATTCTTTGTCGATCGCCTAGTCTATCAATTTCAATAATCGGCCCGCAGACCCCCTTTCCCCCGCTCTCGTCGAAAAGGAATCGCCGGATAACCAGGGTGGCAAAATTTCATGAGAAATAAAATCTTGAAATTTCACTCGGAATATTTCATGAAATTTCAGAAAGTTGTGAGAGATTTTGAAAAATGCTGGTTCCTTTTTTATGTTTCATAAAATATAAAAATTGAGGAGCTTTCCGGAAAAAGGGCACATAGCAAAAAATAGCGGTTGAGAAAAATGCATTTCAAGATTCCATCATTATAATTTCTGGCCACTGATGGTATCTTTCATCGCAGCTTGGACTCCCGATTTCGAACGAAAGTCACTGTCAGTGGCCATATAGTAATGATCAAAACTTCAAATGGATTTCTCTCAAACGCAATTTTTTGCTGTGTGCCCTTTTTCCGGAAAGCTCATAGATTGTGAATTTCCTCTATTTGCGTGTGTATGCTGTGCCCCCTGAAAAATATGAAATATTTCACAGTCATGTGAAATTTCATGAATCGTGAAATATTTCACTGAAATTTCCAATCTTTCATTTCCTTCCTGCGTTTCATCGCCACCCTGCGGCTAACTTGAGGGGGCCTTGGAAATGTCGGAAAATCCTGAAGAAAACTGGAGCAGATTATTAGCTTTTAGAGCGCGATTTTGAAATCTTCCCTTGCCCTTTTTTTGTAGTTCGGAGTTTGTAAGAGAGGTTCCCTTTCTTCACTTCTTCCTCTCTTCTTTTTTCTCCTTTTTTTTCACCGCATTTTTCCCGAGTTATTCGTGGAACTCCAGTGGATATGTGCGTATAATTTTTATGCCAGCAAAATTGAAATATAAGAACTGCGAAGAGGTAGATTTTTCCTGGGAAAATTGCGCAGTTTTTTTAAGCTAAATCCTCCGGTGCGTATGGAAAGGGGATAGCTAGGGGACACATATTTGCCGATCGTAAAGCCCTTAACACTGAAAATCCGTTACTCAACTCGTTCTCCCACCCCGTAGCTCTCCCCGTAACCTAGATCTACAACCACTTAGAAAATTACGTAACGCTTTGATCACTCCCTCCCAACTAAGCTTTTCGTCATGAATTCTGGGTGAAAAATTGCCAACTTGCGTAGGTTAAATTTCGGTGAAACCGGCGTTACGCACCTATTTCGGCGCTGCGTAATGCAGCCATGAACTTTACCCTTCACTATAACGCAAACGTGACTCAAGCTCAGAGTGTTACTTATTTTATAGAGGGTTTCTTAAATTGTCATTTTAATCGAATATCTCCAAATTATCTCAACGGATTCAAAGTCAATCGGGAGAGAGGAAAAACCCTCATTGTATCTAAAATACTCTCCAGCGTTCTTAAATTTTTTCCGCAGCTTTCATCCACCTGTGATGAAGTCCGAGCGAAAAAAATGGAAACAGCTAATGACGAAAGAATGCCGCGCGCTAAGTGTAAAAGTTCTCGCGCCTCCATCAACCCCGAGTTAAAAATAACGCAAAATTAGACCCGCAAAAAGGTTCCCCGCGCGAGAGATTTTGTCGAAACGCAAAAAGTTTCGAAAGTGAGGCCGATACCTACTTTTCACCGCGTCCGCCACGCGGGAAACGGCGGGTTTTCCCCCGAAATCTAGCAACAGGAACCGTTCGGCTTCGACACATAACTCCCCGGACATTTTTTGGCCCGGGTTCAAGGAGTTAAAAGACTTTTCAGCAGCGGCGACAATTTTTCGGAGCCCCCCGTTTTTATTTCCATCGTAAACGTAGGTATTTGCGTCGGATCCGCGACCGGCCGAGCTGTCACGGGGCCCGAAATGACGGGTGGAGAACTCGCGAAAGGGGGAGACGAAATAGGTCGTTATGTCACTTTGCGTTTGTGATCCACGCATCGATCGGCAAAGATCTTCGCTCCTCTGACGGAAGGGCGTATCTCTATTTTCACGTGAGCCGTGAAAAGCATGGGGTTATATGAGGAACAGGGCTCACGTAGGAATTGAGATACGCCCTTATGTCAGAGGAGCGACGAGATGAGCTATCATCTCTATATCGTGAGTTCTCTTGCTACCCAAAATTTAAGTTTTCATCGTGGGTGTGCATTGTTGAATCGGTCAGTTACAGAAGGGTTTTTTTTTATTTTTATTTTCAAAAATGTACGACTAGCCCCTTACGGGGCCATTAATTACAAGAGTTTTAACATTATACTTAAAGCTGAAAACTTACTAAGGCTAGATTTTTATGTTTTTCCTACTAACTAAGCAGGGTTGGACTGGCTTGCACCTTAGAGCGTCGACCCTTGGCTGGTTCAAGGGGCGTAATGCGATAATTCCTGGTAGGGCATCCTTACGTGGAGAGGGATTCAGACAATTTTGGCAAAGCAGCATAAGTTTACGCTATTTTCAGAACTTAAGTTTCTTAATCGTACAGAGTAAAAATTGCAAAACTGAACGTATTGAAGTACCCACTAGACGTAAGTAACCACTAGATGCATCCAGCAACATTATTTCCGAAAGAACCGAGCCAGTGCTGCGGTTTACTCGGGCTTAAGACGTGGGTCTGGAAATTTATCCTTAAAAGAATCAGGCAGAACCTAAAAAAAGAAGAAAGAACGAGTATCAACACAGCCGCAGACAAGAAAGACGTATTCGGGCCTCTTTTTTAACTTTTTTCCCAAATCTGAGCGATACCTCATTGACAGCATACAGCCGAACATTGAGAGCTCGCGCTTCGCGTCATTGCGCCTTCAATTTTTCAGATGCAGCACGGACGTCCATCAAGTACGAATAGTTGTATCTCTGCGCCGTCGTAGACGCGCATCCTTTCCCTCGCTTTATTTCCATATTGTGTTTGTTTCCGTTTGTCCTATTTGTTATGATGCTTCAAGCACTACATGAGTAACACAGCCAAAGGCAAAGGAGATGTTTTCGGGTCTCTTTTTTAAACTTTTCTCCCGAATCTGAGCGACACACCTCACTGACAACATACAGCAGAACATTGAGAGCTCACGCTTCGCGTCATCGCGCCTTCAATTTTTCAGATGCAGCACGGACATCCATCAAGTACGAATAGTTGTATCTCTGCGCCGTCGTAGACGCGCATCCTTTCCCTAGCTTTATTTCCTTATTAAGTTCGTTTGCGTTTAGTTTGTCGAATATTCGTAGTGGAGCTTCAAACTAGTAACGTAGAGCAGAGTATTAGTCCACGACTCACGCCATCGCGTCTTACATTTTTCATATGCAATATGCAGAAATTGTTCTTCCAAATTACAAAAAATTCAGTCCATTAGATAGAACGATAGGAACCATCGAATTGAATGTATCGAACATCGAACACGCATTGTCGGTCAGTCAGTTTATTGTCAGCATTTGCACTGCCGAGCCGAACAAAAACCACGCATCCAAGGGTTTTCCCCAGAGTTACGTGATTCCTCCATACAATAGGGCAGTTAGACGCTGTGTCCACGGCTGCACCACGCTGCGACTCCTCCCTCTGGCACGTTCCACCCCGTATCGTCCCCGAGCCGGCGAAAATTACGAAAAGAGAAAGCCGCGTCCACGCGGCCCAACACGTAAAACCACGTAATTCCGATCGTAATGCCGGGTAAACACGCGGTTTTTGCCCAGCGCTGGGGTTGCAAAATTCGGGGCTACTCCGCTCGCGTTAACACCAGCTCGACAACTTTCCAATCCGATCTATTTTCGAGTCGACGCGGGTAATGAACGCCATTTAAACGGATTCCAAAACCGCGGAAGGCGAGTGACAGGTCCATCCTCCCCTGCGCACTCTCTCCCCTTGCCCTTTGCCCTCACGGGGCTGGGTAGCGGTATTTCTGGCCCCTAATGACCGACTCTCAGGGTCTCGATCTGCCGTGCTAAGGAAGAACGCCGTATAAGCATTCGAGAGTAGCCAAATTTCTCTCAATAAAATGTTTATTATTGAGGGAGGTTATGCAAATTTTTCCTTGAAATTTTCAGGAATTTTAGATCAAAATACCAACAAAATTCTGTGAAAAATTGGAAGAAAAATATTCATAAGTTTACCGGGGAATTCGTGTTTTATCAAAGGAAATTTGGCAACGCCTGAGGGTTCATACGGCGTTATTCCTCAGCACGGCAGCGATCAGGTCAGCGGCAGTCTTCGTCACATCCGACCTCGGGGCCCGATAGCCGGTGCCAGTTTCCGCTGTGGCCCCCCGGAAAGGTATGCGAACCCTCCCCTCTCACTAAAAGACTATCATGGTATCGTATTGATAATCTAATGGATTATGACGCGTATACATTGTATCGTTTCATCCGCTGTATGAAAAAAATGAAGAAACCACGTAT